CCCAGCGTTCAGTATATACAATATCGCAACATGGTCTCTCCGGCTACAATTTGTACAACTGGATGCCAAACAGCACTTCAGTCGTATCGGAGCACTGTGGCTAGTGCCTGTGCGGGATACATGTTTCCAGGCCCTAATCAATCCACACATGTCGGTGAGTGGCTCTACTCCTTGCACTAGCATCCCTAATGGTCTGCGGGTAGCAACATTGGCAATTGATCTTATCCTCGGGCCGTACACTGCTGCATGCCTGAAAGATGAGTATGTTTCCACCATTCCATTTACATTCCCACTTCCAACGATTGGATAGATCCACCTCAACTCCATGTCCCACTGTGCTCCCACGTACAGTGATACCATTAGGCTTGAACCTCAATGACTGGGCAAGTGTGAATGGTGGACGCGCTCAGGAATGCCAGTCCTGCATTCTTCAAACTATCAGAGCAACACTTTGTGATCCATTCCGGACCTCCCCTGCACAATATGCAGAGTTTCAAGACATCATAGGGGATTGTGGCTCGTATGTTGAACATCTTGTGCCTATCCTCCTGCCAGCTCTTTGATATATCCTTAGGGGCTATACAAAATATAATATTGCTCAAGGGACACAAGTTCCAGCATATACCCATGGTAATAGCTCTCTTCCAAGTGGTCCCTCTGGCATTTCAGTGAAATGCATATCTCCCAAGATTAGCATTTCTCTTACTTCATCAATGTCTTGTGAAGGAATAACTGCTGCATACTCAGTCAGCTATCTTGATATCCTTGCACTGAATCCCTGGATCACTCCATCTGCATGTCTCACAGGTGTAGCACCCTCCCGGGTTCTTTGTATCCCCAGCCCATGCACAACATACACCATGCTTGCTGCTCAAAGCTGTGTGGATGTTGTGCAAGATATCAACAACAATATCCTTCCTTCAGGAACATCCAAGATAAGCATTGCACAGCTGGTGGCATGGAATCCAAGTCTGGATCGGATTTGTAAGCTTGGTCCTAGTCGGCGGAGTGCATCTGGGCAAGATATGAAAATTTGCCGTAGGTATGATAAATTACCTACTAGTTCTTCTTTTGTAGCTGATCCAGGTATACAGTCCACCAGGGGGAGCTGCAGCTGTCGGCAATGATGGTGGCAGTGCTATCCCAACGCAGTCAGCCCTAGGCAATGGCACGGGTAGGCCATACCCGCGCGGGTACGCGGGTTTACCCGCGCGGGTACGGGTACGGGTCAGCGACAGGCTTACCCGTGGCTTGATGACTCAGCTGGCTTTTCTCCCTTCTGGTGTCCAAGATGCTCTGCGTTCGACTCTGCTCTTGCGCAGCATTTTTATCCCACCTTCCGGACAATAACCAAGCTGTCTCTTCCTCCCTGCCTGCCCAAACCATGGGTAAACCCATACCCGTACCCGCGGGTATGAGTACTGTGGCTGTGCGGGTACGGGTGCGGGTAGGCCCTCGGATACCCGTGGGTATACCCGTGCCATTCCCTAGTCAGCCCCAACAGCAACAATGTTTGTCTTCTTAAGCTAGGTATTCCTGTTAACTGAAGCTTTAGTGCTCCACCCACGTCAACTCCTGATGGCACCACATCCGCCTGTAGCAAGTGGTATACCATCCAGTCTGGAGACTTGTGCCCAAGGCTTCTGATGAGCAGTAAGTAGCCCACTATGTTCACTCTTTCTGTATATTAATTATAGTTATCACTAAGATGGCATTACATTATCTGACTTTCAGACAATCAACCCTCAAGTGAATGATAGTTGCAGCAATCTGATTATAGGGTATGTTAATTCTAGTGGTGTGGTACCAAAAGAGCATATAACTAAATATTTCCTTAGGAAAGCATACTGTGGTATATATATCCATATATCAGTCATAATCTTTTGTGCTGACAAAATAATAGTACAGCCACTCATTGCACCAGGTAAAATACCAATCCCCTTGTTCACAAACCCAAATGCAGTCATGACTACTGGAACATTGAGAATGACTCCAATCTCTACCTTAGTGGCTACTACAAGTCCTTGAGTAGAAAACAGTAGTACAGATGTAATTGGTTTCTCTCAAGCCTGACAATCCCCAGACCAGTTAATGTTAAGCTACCAATGAGTAGTGGTAACTACGTTTAAGTCATTCAATATAATTTTTCATGGTTAAGAATATTTCTTGAATAATTGCTGATCTTATGATGCAGTGCATCAATTCATGACAATGTAAAGTGAAATTGAAGGTTTTCATTGAAATTAGGGAATGGCATTCTCTGATGACTGCACTGTCCAATAGCAAAAAATTCCTTTTTTGGAAATTTATCACGTATCACTCTATGTTGCAGTATACAACCATAGTCACTAAAACTACCAGCTCTACTATCTATTGACAAAAGTTCCTTTTGGGGATGTTGTGTCACATGTCACATAGTGTGACTCCAAAAGACTTGGTGAAAATGGCCTGGATTATATTATTCACCTTTATTCACCCCTACATGCTGGACTTAGTGAAAATTTGTCTTGGACTTCACAATTATTCACCCCCTTCACCAACAATTATTCACCACTTGGGGAATTGCTGATATGGACGGTATACTGTATCAAAAGCTTTTCACAACTTTCAACTCTTTTTTTCAGACTTTTTATATACAACTTCAAGCAATGTGTTTCCAGCTCAAAGAACTGCCAGAGGGATCAATACATCTTGTAATTTACAACAACATCTTTCATTTTCTCAACTACAACCTCAACTTTTCACATAGCAACTTCCTTCTAGAGCAACTACAACTTTAAATTTGTTGGTTGCAGGTTTTCAATATGCAGAACAACTTCAAAGTGATTGGCTGTAGAATCTTCTGCCACAACTACAACTTTCATATTATATATTACAATTAAGACAAGTTTTAATTTAGTAGAGACAGTAATTTATCCTCCATATGTCTTATTACAGGAATTAAAAGCCAGGGAATTTCAGTTGTCACACTATCAAGAATTTATTTTTATACAAACTAAGGTGCACCCGCTATAGATAGTTGACTATATACTATGCTGCTGCTACACCAAGAGTGATTGTTACTCTGAGTATGACTACAACTACTGGGTAGTAGTGGTGATTGGAACAGGGGTTCATCTGACACATTCAGAAAGAGCTGGCAGACATTTGTTGCATTTTCTGACTATTTACAAGGCACTCTCACCTGACATGATCAATCTAACAAAACAAATTACTAGCTAACTGAACCATAAATGAACCATACAAACACAGAAAATTGACTGTGTATAGGCTTTGTCCTTGTTTCTTATTGACTCCCAGGAGATTCCAATTAATGATGGAAATAAATTTAATGATCTGATTGAACTCTCATATTATATTAATAGATAAATAAACTTTCTGCCAGAAATTCCTCACTTCCGTTTATATCAGAGTCAAGGTTTAAAGAAAGTTGCACCAGGCTTGTTGTAAGTTGCAATGTAAGAGATTGCAAGTTGCACATGCTTTTCTAAAGTTGTAAGTTGCATGTCCAAAGTTGCAATAAGGAGTTCAAAGTTGCAAGTTGTTCCTGTCAAGTTGCTGCAGGGAGTAATAGTTGTCAGCCATGAAGTTGTGCATGAAAAGTTGCAAGTTGTGTACAAAAACAACCAGTTGTATTAAAAGCTGATTTCCTGCAGTGCCAATGGAGGATCTTGAGTTTCCTCTTTCACAATAGAGATCAAGTCATGGAGGGATGCAAGAGGAAGGACCTCACATGCCACCTCCAGACACAGGGTTTGTAGATTTTGAAAGGGAGTTGACAAATGGTCCCACAGTGCACCTGCCAAGTTTTTGAGAAAGTCCCGGGCATCATCAATTGAAATGTCAACAATTTTGAGGAAGTGCACAGGCTGCATGGCACTAATAAGGGAAAAAATACTGGTGCATGAGCATTGGCGATCTGCTGTAAGTATAGCTGACTGTAATGTACACTGTGAGCGGCTTAGGAACTCTTCCAGGTGTGGAAATGCATCACAGGCTAGTCCTCCTATAGAGAGGTTCTGAAGTGCAGGAAACATGTAGTCATTTGTCCATATATATTTTCCTTGAGGGTTATAGAAGATAGAGAGGGTGTTCAAATGTTCAAGTGTGAGAGGAGGAGGAGTTGAATCTGTCACTACATTGCGCCAAGGATCAGCCTCCCATATAGAAATATCAAGACTTTCTAACAATGGAATATTATCCAGAATGCTGTATATTTCCATAGCACTGATATTAGAGAGGCCAAGAACACGAATTTGATGCCAGGGAAGGATAATCTGGGACTGAACAATGTATGACAGCTGTACTTCATAAAGTAATGGTGTATCCGCAAACAGAGTAACTGGTATCTGTATGCTTGGTGCTGAGCCTAGAAACCAATCCATGTCAGGATCATAATGCCTGAGGGAGAGGTGCTTCAATCCAGTTAGGTGGTTTTTCAATCCTGGAAGTGATAGTTCCTCCTGGGCAAGAATATCAAAGGAGCTAGAGTATTTTACTATCCGTTCCACTGCACCTGGAAAAGAAATAACGCCAGAAAAAAGTTTTGTTTCTGTCAGGGGATGAGGGTCCAGGTGCCTAGTTGATACCAAAGCCGGGGGAACAGCCCCACAGCCAACTACTTAAGTACAGGGCTATCTGCGCACGGACCAGTCACGTGATCAGTCACAGCTGTCACATCACATGCTCCCCTTACACCAACCCCTCCTCAAGATCCGTCGCCTCGACGGATAGGCGGAGTGTAGGGTTCTGCAAACTCGTATTCGGGGTCGCCAGGGAAATAGAGGTTGTCGCCTATAACACGCGATGATTGCGCAGGTACGCCCCCTCGTTGGGCCGTCTGTCGATTGCGCTGCCGACCGTGCGCTACCGCGTCAATCTGCATGGGAGTGGAAGCCACACTGGTATCCATCCGCATGGGAGAGGCGCCTTGGGTATGCGAGACTCGGGTAAACGTCGACGGAGTTCCCATAGCCACCGAGGGTGCGAAGGGAGTAGGGTTAGGCTGGGGAGTAGGGAGAGTGGAAGCCGCGGCCCGTATAGGTTGGGTAGTGGCGGCGGCGGGCTGACGGGGTAGGGTAGACGGGAAGAAGGGGAGAAGACAGTCGCGAATGCCCAGCTGGCCCGCCGGGCGGCAGTCGAAGCCCTCGGATGAGCGGCAGGACGTGCGGCAGTGGGGCGCGGGGCACCTGAGACTGACCACGGGGCACAGTGGACGAGCGGTGCGGAGCACGGTCGACATCCATCTTAGTGGCGTGGGACGCAGGCACAGGCGCGACAGGAGGAGGGGGAGCAGGTCCCTCAGCAGACGGTGGCTGACGTTGCTTCTTCGCACGGACACGCTTACGCATGAACCGTTTCCCAAGCGCAATAAGCGCTTCACCGATTTGCTGGTCGGTTCCCCGGATAGAGACCCGGCGCTCGCCAGGCGCAGGCGATCAGAGTACGCGCAACTGAGCACCAGAAGTGTCATGAGCTTGGTGGAGACCCTTGCCGCCACGACCCACGATATGCCCGACAGCCGAGTCAGGCACCACAAGCGTACAAGAGAAGCGCGTGACAGTGTCGGGCGCAGTAGGGGGGAAGGTTTCGGCAAGTGGTATGGAAGTGTGGGCCGCAGCGATGACGGCAGGGGTAGGGGCCGGGATTGTTGGAAGAACCCAGCGACTGCCGTCCCAGACACCGTGGAATGTAGGACCAGGGGAAGGGGGAGCAGGGGGTGGAGCAGGCGTACCATACTCAAGACGGTCGAGACGGTCGGTGAGGCGAGTAATTTCGCTCTGCAGGAGCAGGCAGTACGAATACAGGTCGACAGGGACGCCAGGAGTCGTCATTGGAGGAGAGAAGGCAAGCACAGTAGGGTGAGGACGAATATAGGAGATAGAGAGGATCAACTGGGGCTAGAAGAGTGCCAGAGTCGATGTAGAGGCTTTGGTATGCTGTCAGGGGATGAGGGTCCAGGTGCCTAGTTGATACCAAAGCCGGGGGAACAGCCCCACAGCCAACTACTTAAGTACAGGGCTATCTGCGCACGGACCAGTCACGTGATCAGTCACAGCTGTCACATCACATGCTCCCCTTACAGTTTCATCAATAAACAGCTCCAGCGGGTGCATGCCTGATCGGACCAAGCATAATTGAAGAAATTGCTCATATCCAAGTTGCTTGTGGCGTGGTGCCGTGAGCTTGATGCATGACCAGATTCGAGCAAGCCCAAGTGCCACATGTCGCCAATGACGGCAAACCGATGATAACACAAGTGGGGCATGAAAATCACTGAAGGTGTGGCCTATGGTGACCTCTTCAACACAGTGTCCAAAGATCTCGGCTGTAATCTCAGATGGGATGGTGAGGATGTCGTCGTAGGTGATATCTTGCAGTTTGGAAACAATGTGACGGCGAGTGTCCAGGGATCTCCGCAGAGAGGCACGAAGATCCGCGATCTCTGAATCGATGTGCGCTAGCTCTTTGCGCAGGTCGGAGGCGGAGGGAGGCACCGGAAAAGCGGGGGGCAGCGACATGGCGAGAAGAAGAAGAAGAAGATAATGTGGGAACACCTCATCACATCGATGAGTTGTCGATGAGCAAAAGAAGCTGCATCACGTGTCACACCTTACGCGATCAGCTTCTTTTGCTCCGAACCACCATCTCGACCATGGCGGACGTGGCTGCTCTCCCTGGCGAGGTCATCGCGCACATCGTCGCATTTCTCCGCGATGCATCCAGCCTGCGCATCGCTGCGCTGATTCATCCTTCCTTCACTCCCTGGGCACGGGCAACCCGCTTCCGTCATGTCCGGCTTACGCAAGACAACACTGCTGCCTTCGCGGTGCTGCTCCAGTCTTCGCCCCTCGTTGCATCATACATCCAGCAGCTGGAGATCGACATGCCGCTCGTAAACGATGCAGACTCCGACGCGCTCCCGATTCCCCTCCCATCCGAGCATTTCACACTGTGCCGCAATCTCCGGGGGCTGACAAGCCATGGGGACCCGTTCGGCTTCCGACAGCTAGACACATCGCAGCTGACAGCGCTGCGCGAGGGCATGCGCGGCTTACGGACACTGGAGCTGACATTCGCTCGGTTGTACCCGCTGCCCTATTGGTCGGCACTGCTCGACGCGTGCGATACTCTGGAGAGCCTGGAGATCAGGGCCAACAAGCCGAACCAGTGGACATGGGAGGACATTCACGTGGCGATTCCGTCCGTATTGGGGAGCACACCGAGCGGAATGCACCTACAAGTTTTGCGGATTGCGTGCGAGGCACAAGCACTTGCGCCCATCTCGCAATGGCTCCTCTCTCGCGATGCGCTGGACACGCTTGTGGTGCTGGAGCTGAATATCTACTGCATTGATAGGCCGATAGAGGATGCATTGGGTGCCTTGGTCAGAGCTGCGATGTGCTCAGTCAAGGAACTTCGGCTCCACTTGGACGATGGCCTCCGTCTCGAGCACGACAAGAATACGCCACTCACAGCTGCCTCGTTTCCGCTGCTACGCACACTGCGTGTCCGCGTGGGAGAACTAGCTACCACACTCGAATGGACGGCTGCATTTCTCGGCTCTCAGGCACCGCAAGCACACCGTTCCGTGCTTGAACGCATCACCATCGACGACTGTATACAGCGTCACAGGCTCGAGGCGACGTCTGTGGCATCGTGGGCAGCACTCGACGACGCGCTGGTCGTAGCCGCGCTCCCAAGCCTTGTCGCCCTCAGCTTCACGCACCCACCAGCGGGACACGAGGAGGCTTCTGAAACGCAGTTAAACTTCGCCAGCTATATAGCCAGCAGAATGCCGCGATTGGCGGGGTCCAAGAGTCGGATACGGCTGCAGTTCGATGAGGAGGTCGACGAGAGAGAGGCTGAAATCTTGATGTCCCGGGTGACATGTGTGGTTTTTTGAGACCGCCTCTTGGGGAGCAGATTATCGTTTCTGAGCACAACTATTTGATAAGAAGATAGCGAACCATACATTTAAGTTCTTCAACAAAACATTACTTCCCGCCAGCATCCACGAGCACGGTCTCGCCAATGCCACACACCGTGAACGCACCTTCCTTGAGCCCGGCCTTCTGCGCCTCCTCCGCGAGCTTCTCCGGTGGGTCGAGGATCTGCTCCGCGCCGAGGAGCCACGTGCTGCGACGACGGATAAGAACGGGGAGAGAGGGAAAGGGGAGGAGGAACGCACCCCCAATGCATGCCCAGGCCGCGCCGCGCCTTGACGTCCTTGAATATCGCGACGCTATCCCGCGGCGCGCTGTGCACAGGCGACAGGAAGGATCGGGGCGTGTAAGCGCTATACCGCTTGAGTCAACTTCAACCAAACAACTGCAACACGCACCCAATGGGAATCAGCGCGAGATCCATCCCGCCCCAGCGCTCGCCGATTTCCTTGAACGCAGGACAGACGGGGAGGTCGTCCGGCCCGTCATCCGTGTCCGAGGTAACCGAGCGGTAGCCAGTGTCGCCCGCGAAGTACACCTTGCCCGTTGTCTTCACCTTCTTGTCGTCGGGCCCGGGCGCTGACTCGACAACCCAGCCAGCCCAGAGCGTGTGGCAACGGTCGTGCAGCCCGCGACCCGTGAAGTGCTGTCCCGGAGTGCATGTGACGTCAAACGCGATGCTGGCCGCCTTATCGGAGGGGAGGGTTGTCGTGACGCGCCGCGCGTCCCACCAGTCGAGGCAGTGGGTGCGGTTGGCCGGCACACCCAGTTTCCGGAAGTAGGACTGGTTGGCAGCTCCGTAAGGCGCGAAGACGTGTGGCGCAGAGGGGCGGGAGAGGAGGACTTTGAGCGAGTTGGTGTCCATACTGTGGCAATAGTGAGAATTGAGCAAAATATGGTGATAAACGAAAGGAGATCACAGAAATGTGGAAGCGAGGGAGATTATGGAGAAGCAATGGAGAATGGATAAAGTACATATGTGAATGGAGGAGGAAGGAGACCACGAGAAGAAAAGGCAACACGCACTGGTCATAGTGATTGTGCGAAATGACGATTGCGTCAAACTCGGGTACCTCATCGAGCTTACACGGCGGCTCTGTCGTTGGTCAGCCCTCATGGTCTCCTTCTTCGTTGAACACATACTGGTATACCGCTTCGGCCCCATAATCTGACTCGGCGAGCATCGATCGCTGAACACCGGGTCAAAGAGGATTCTTGGCCCCCGCGCGCCAGCCACGGGGGCGGGTAGCTCGACAAGGAAGCACGCATGGCCGAGCCACGTGGCCCGCACCTTTCCCCGGGTCTTGTCGTTCTCTGGCGCGAACTCGGCCCAGTCTGGCACGAAACGCGGGATTTCGTCTTTGCGGGCTGTCGACTGTGGGCAGAAGATGGCCTGTGCGAAGGTCCCGATTATCTGCCAGGATTAAGGAGGAGAACTCGATGGGAAATGAGGGACGCACCCCGCCAACGTCGGAAAGGTTTGTTACTGATTCGCGGAAGCTCGGCCATGGGTTGTGAAAGTGCGTGCCCGCGTCATTCAGCCAATGTGCAGGCCTGCCTGCCTTCGCGCGCTCCTCGCGGGCGGCGGCCTGGGTCGCAGTTTCGGTCACTTCAATGGGCATTCTCGGGCGTAAAGGGTTGAGCGTGGGGTCGTGAGTCGTGAAAGTCGGTAGGCAAGACGGAGAGAAGTCTTATGTATGACGGTAAAAGGGGCACATGGACGGGAAGAACAGGAGAGCAGGGTGACGTGTGACGGGCCGGGTGACGTGGTAGGCGTGACGTCAGCGGAAGGACTCCGAGATCAGTGCGTCGCCGATCGGTGGGCGAACGACGGCGAGATAGGTAGATCGGAGGCCGTGGTGTGCAAGCGGGAGAGCATTTCGAAAGACACCAAATGCGAGAGCGACAGAGAGTCCCAATATAACAAACGAGCAAGAATAAATGCTCCGGCCCAAGTATCCTGATTCCTATGTCGGTCCAAACGCAACGCCAAGTCACGGACACGGACGCCGGCTCCGGTCCGCCCTCCCGCCTTGGCCGATGTCAGCCGGCGATATCTGGTCGAGCCGATCACCGTCATCATGGTTATATCATGAAGTCACAGGTTTCAGCTGAAAAAATGGCAAAATACTGGTGTTGTGGGCATCCGGAAGAAGAAAAAAAATAATCCCAAAAAGGAAGGAGGGAGGAAAGAGAAAGAGAGAGGTAGCCACACCTCAAGTAAATATATTCATGCTCTTCCTACATGCAAAATATGCTATTCTCAAATATCTATTTGTCTGGGCGGCGCCTGCAGCGCGCCGTTTAATGTGTGACACATTACACATGTGCGTGTGACAGTATGTATACTGGCAAGAGTTTCCGTTTTGGAATATTCTGTCGCTCACGGGACTGGGTGATGGCAAATACTGAACCAAAATCGGGATTTTTTTCGACCGGGCTTCGCCCGGTCCGAGACCGGTCACCGTCACATCTCCTTGATTCAGCGGCCATCCAGCTCACTTTTTGGAACCTCTGGTGGTCAGTATATATGGCAGTTAGGCTGTAGCTTAGACTCTTTACCAACTATGCATGACACAACTATTTTTCACCATGTGCATTTAATCTAATAAACAAAATCAAGCTTAAAAATCTCTATTGCCAAGGCCCAAGGTGGCTCTGTAATAGAACTGGGAGGGGAGGGAGCAAAGTGCAATCATTACTGTACTATTTCGATTAATTGTCCGCATTACGGCGTACGCATTACACGCGGTCTCGGCGCGGGACACCTGCGACCGCTGTTACGCGTTCAAGTCCGATTTTCCATCAAATCCAGGCCTAAAAAGGCAATTTTTCGTTCTGGCTGACGCCGGACTTGCCTTTTATGGTAATCCGGACACCTTGTCCGGCGGACAGTTCGCGTTACACGTTACATGCCGCAGACAATTAATCGAAATAGTACAGTATAGGAAAGCCTATGGCTAGCATAAGCCACCCTCACAAATTCTCTACCCCATCAAAAAAAAAAGGTGGCCAGCGGTGCAGTTGAATGCAGGCCTCCGAGAATCACGGAGGATCAAAGTCTGGCCCAAAACGGATATTCGCTGCACACCATCACTATTACTGCAGTATTTGCCCACAACACCAGTATTTAGCCGAAAAAATGGTCCCTGTAAGGGCAACCCTGGAGACTCTGACGAAAGTCTAGCAGGGGAGGATCCAAAGCGTGAATAAAAGCTACGGAAATACACGGAGGGACCGACCTAGCAGGGGAGGATCCAAAGAGAAGAAACTCTAAGGGTCTGCCTGCTAGGGCGCCAACTATATACTGGTCGTCCGTAACTTCCCCTGACAGTCCCCTAAGCAGGATTTATATATAAGAAATAATGGTCCAAAACAATGGCCTTTTTTGCTCCTTTGATTAATATGCAATAGTAGCTGCAAAAATTGTATCTGATTTACAAGAAATCCAGTTCTATATCATGGTATCAAATATCACATACATAATAATGGCTACCCCATTGCTGACCATGTTTTGTAGCACATTATTCAAGCCCAAATATCTGTCAGAGAAATAGTGTCACATTATTATTTCCCTAATTTGTTATATACAAGGGTGATTTGTCATATATAATGGCAATTTGTCACTTATTTCTGATATATTAGCTACACTTTGGTGCTGGCCTAGATTTTGATATATATAGTTTTAAATCTTGTAACATATTTGGTGCATTTATTTGTTGCAAATCATTGCCACAAAATTGTCAGCTGATATTGGCTCTCACTGCGGGAGTTCAGGAATAAACAGCGCCCGTTTCGATCGATTATACACCTAATATCAATGTATCAAAAAAAATAATTTTTTTGCAGCTCTATTTGTGCCAAAAAAAAATGCACTGATATGGTGAATATGCCCTTATATAACATATATCAGGGCCCTGGATCATATAAGTGAACCTTTTTTGGCACAAATAGAGGTATAAAAAAAATCTTTTTTTGGTACATTGATTTTAGCCATATAATCAATCGAAACGGGGGCCGTTTATTCCCGAACTCCTGCAGTGTCTGGGTTCAGTCCAATCTGATAACTTAATATATGTCCCAATTCCTTACAAAGCAAGTCTATTTTCCTGGAGTTTTATTTATTATTGTTCTAAGTTGAGAAAATATACATTTTATTTGTCATAATTTAATCCTACTTCAGGGCCTATTTTTTGGCAGAAACCCCGGTGTCCTAGTATTAACAATTTAGCAATGTCACATGGTATAAGTATTAAAATTATATTTAATTTATTATACTCAGAATATAATCTAGAATAATATATTTAATATTTGTACCCGTCCTTACATATACATATCCTCGTCCATGTCGTCCCACGGCCAGTGACCCATAACCTCCTCCCGCTCCCTCGCTGACTGAGCCCCGGCGAACGCTTCCTCCTTGAACTGCTTGAAGAAAGCCACGGCACGCTCGTAGTCCTCAACCAGTACCCAGCCCTCCTCCCCGACGTCGTGCACGGACTGTAAGCGGTCGAAGCCCGTGGTCGCTTCGCGCAGTTCTTTGCCAACCCTCGCCGTCTTCTCCAAGTCCTTGGAGTCGAACTTGAGGGGACACGGCACGCCTCCACCCGTAAGCTCCTCCCACTTGTTCGTGGCCTGGATAAGCGCAGCCTTCAGGTCGAAAGTCTCACCCTCCCACGGGCCACCAGCGTACAGGAAGAGTCGCCTACGGAGCGCGCACAGGCGGTCTGTAAAGGCGGCGTAGTGAAGCGGGTTGCACTCCCTCGTGTTGGTGATGTAGAGATAGTGAACGAGGCGACAACGGTAGTGATATTCCTCGCGGGCTCGCCGACCTTCGCTCATCTTGTCGAGGTTCTCCGGTCGAGAGGGCGGCGCCATAGACTGCGACGCGCCATCTGCGTGGTACTGGAGGCGTTCAGGAATACCGGCGAGGAGAAACACGGGTAGAATAGAGGTATGCTGCCAGTCGAACACGCTGACAATTTTGCAGTCGAAGCCCGGGTCGGGCGACCATGACACAAAGATGTTGTTCGGCTGGAGGTCTGGATGGCGGATGCAGAACCGACTTAAAGCGGGGTCCTTAGGAACAAGCGACGACGTGATGCTGAGGTACCGCTCCAAGTTCTCGATGTGATCCGACGGAGACTGCTGCTGGTACTTGTAGCTAGGCCGCCTTTCGCGCCGCAACGGCAGGAGCGGTTGTCCGAAGCGTTTTAGGTAGGCAATCTCCTTCTGCGCCGCTGCTGCGAGAGCTGCTTCGGCGCTATTGTCTATCGATACAAGTTAGTTCGAGGGCGTAATAATAAAGTTGAAGAGGCGGAGAGCAGCATACATGGTCCTCGATTGACGTCGAGGCCTGCCCGTCTGCCATACCAGTACGCCAACTTCGTGTCCGGCCCGACGCAGAAACGCTTGTCCTCCAGAGGCACGCCCATCCCTGGGGCAACCTTCTCGAGGTCTTCTGTGAAGTACAGGCTCCCGCCAGCAGGGAATGGCTGTGACATCATGCGTGATTCGATCTGAGTGAGCTGGCGGACGACGGAGATGACTTGCTCGTCCCCGAGGCTGGGCCAGATCTCGCTGAGCTTCGGGCCGTGAACGAACTCCATAAGAATGTACGGGGTTCCAGCGACGTTGTTCGAGTCCGCCGAGTAACCATATATCTCAGGGACAGGAATCCCGCAGGACCGCTGGTACTCGATAGTGGCCACCTCGCTGGCGACGGCGTAGTAGTCAGGGACCGTCATGGGGTAGGGAACCCGGGCAACCAACTGCCGACCATCGTGCAGACCGATGACGAAGGTGCGGTTGAACCCGCCCTCAGCGAGCTTGGATATGGTGACGACATCCGTAGGACTTTGATGAATAGACTCGGCTGCAAGTCGACACAACCCGTCGACATCGAAGGCAACCCTCCGCTCCTTGTGACGAAGAGCGTCGTTGTAGCTGAACGATAGAGATGACATGTCAGATATCCATGCGCCAAAACAACGCTTGTGAGACTTACACCCAACGCCCAGAAGTATAGTCGTAGAGGTCGTCTAGAGACTCGGTGGACAAGGCGCGACGTGGCGGCGAACGGGTTGTGGAGATGGAGCTCCGGAGGGAAGAGAATAACGGTTGGGGAGAAGCGGGAGCTTTGAACTTGTTAAAGACGACGGAGCTCGCCCTCCCAAGGCCAAGCATAGCGAAGTAGGCTGAATTGAGGTCGTGGTGGGGGAAGAGAAGCAACAGATTGTTGATGGCGACGATCAGTGATCACGTCATGCTGACTCAGCGCTTGCGTGGCTCTTTTTACGACCACGACGACAACGACTGCGTTCCTCGCCGGTGAGGCCGGTGAGATGCTACTGGAATGCGGAGACGTGGATGGCGCTGAATCGTGGCTCGTCGAACAAGTGCGTGTCAGTCGTCCCGGTAATCGATTTAACCGTTCTGGGCTAGACACTTCCATTTCCGGTTTCCTGCCGACAACGTGGTCCTGGTAAGGGAACTGCATCCGCGCAAAGCCTATTGCCGTGCGCAGAGAGAAGCTGCCCACGAGCCTGACGCCACAACCGTCATTTCGCACCAGGTCACTCATCGAATTCGCTCTACACCATCCAGCTCACGCGCCTGCCAGACCCGCATTGCGCAACGGTGACCGCCAAAGGGGGTTTCCCCGCGCTCATTCGCACGGTGCGTGTTACGCGCTGTCGCACATCCGCGGAAACGACAATGAAATACGACATGGGACGGCATAATGCGCGGTACGCATCTGCACAATTTGGCGGCTGGCCGTGCCTTTACACGTAATGGGCAAGCGCATAAGACCCGCCAGCGCCTCATGCCTCACGTCCGCCTTTTTCGTCCCCCCTTTTCCCTTCGACTTCTGTGCTTCGCCTTCTTTTCCTCGCTGCCCACTGTCAGGCGCGCGTCTCTCTTTTTTCCCTCCAACCACAACCTATGGGTGACTCCCACCCGTATGCATTAATGGCTGAGGGCAATGGCGGCCCGCCATCGCCTACCCGTGGCCGAGCAAAAGCAGTGTTTGACCGCCTGAGACAGCGAGCGACGGGGCTCGTGAGGAAGGATAAGGGCGAAGAGGGACACCACTTGAAGGCAGCGATGGGCGGGGCGGATAGCGAGTACCGTATTCCCGAGCTGCGCTTCTCGTCGTCCTTCGCGGCGCTGGCCATGACTGGAACAGGAGGTGAGTAATCCCATTTGGTGGTGTCGAAACCAGACTTATCGGTGCGACAGGCCATTCTCACTCGCTCGCCCACCGCCAGACCACTCTCCGCCCCTCCCTACGGCGCCGCCCGTCAACTGCCGACGCTGGCCTTCGTTCCCAGCCCCCGCCTGTCCCGCCGAAACAGCCTCCCTCCCCGACCACCCCCCGCAAGCTGTCGTTCCGTCGCAAACGTGTCGAAGATTCCGCACCCCAGCCAAAGGAGGCCAGAATCACAATCCGCGAACGACCGCGGAGAAGACCGTCGACTGCGCCAGCTGCTGTGTATCGGCACAAGAACCTGAGTGCGCTGTTGGGTGCCGAGGCGGGGCCGTGGACAATACCGGATGACGATCATAGCATCCCGGACGAATCGACCCAGCCCTTGCGACTGGCGCGCAAAACATCCACGCCGCTGCTCATCACCACTCCCGCTGCAAGTCCGCTCTCCTCTCCTTCGACGGTTTCATCCTTCAGTACAAGCACCCCGCCAACGCCGACCTCCGCGACCGGCGAAACGACGCCCCCGCGTCAGATGCCGCTCGCAATGCGTCTGGGCAACGGCTCCCTCGTGGCCCTGCCCCCACCGAAGCCCGTCCCGAGCGGGCCGCTCCCGCCGCTGCCGTTGCCGTTGCCGTTGCCGTTGCCGTTGCCCCAGCAGAAGGAGCACCACGGAATCGGCCCTCCCCCGGCTGCCGCGCTCCCCCCGCTCCCGCTCCTCCGCATCCCTGGCGCGCGCCCCGTCGACGCGGACGACTCGGACACGGACAGCTTCTTCCTCTCGCCGCCGACGCATGCGCACCCCTACAGCCGCCCGCCCTCGCCCTTGCTTGCGCGGCCAGACCCCGAGGCGCGCTCTGTCTCCGCCCGCTCGGTGTCGCTCTCGCTGCTCGACGCGTTCCCGGCGCCGCCCGCGACATGTCCAGCCCCGCTCGCTGGCTCAGACTGACTACATCTATAGATCATCCGTAGACATCCATACGCTCTTTCTTGTTGTTGCTCTCCTCAGGCTGTCCTTCTTGTCCTCGTAGACTTGCGTAGACTTGCTACCATCTACCTATCTTGTCGTAATTAATAGAATTGTATGTATCATCCTTATCATCAAGAAACAAAAATTGTGGTGTATCATGTATGTTGATTGTGAGAAATAAATATGGCATTCAATTGTCAATCTAAGCAGCAATTTGTCTAAATACAACTAGACAGGCTGGGGCTACGCCCCAGCTTCAAATGTTGTTTCACAATTTTTTGTAGACTGAATGTGCGAATTTTATTCATAAGTGTATGAAATATCAAGGTCTGCATGCCCTCTACTGTAGTAATTAGACCATAAGTTCATCAATTTTGATTTTTTTAATGCCCGAGAGGGCTGAAAAATTTTCTTTTGATTTTAGGCGAATTTTAACGCTATGTTTTTTTGGCCTGATTACGCATTACGCGAACTTGTGGTCTAATTACTACAGTATACTGATATTGCAGCCAAGAACAACATCACAAATGGCCTTAGATTACTGATATCATCAACAATTGGTGATCTGAATAAGTTGCTTTCATCAGCCCCCAAGAACTCAAGTATCTTTGGTTGTGGAACGGAAATCACCAAGATTAGATCATTGCAATCAAACAAGTATTAGGAGATATTGCCTGTGACCTTGTGGGACTTGTTTATGGTACTTGATATTTTACAGCTTTGTGTCCCAATTAGACTTTACAGCTTTTCTTACCAAATTAGGGTTTTAACAGCAGTGGTCCCAAAAGTGGAAATGTGGAGTAAATAAATTGCTAAAGCTGATGCCAAACATGTGCATACATTCACACGATAACATAAGAGTAACCACTTTGGCTCACTCAGTGCACCGAAGTCTGACTCTGAGTCTGACCTGGATTTCGCTACACTACCTACAGAATCAGACTCCGACTTGGACTCACATTCATGTTTGGGGTCACCCTAACGATCAACAAAGACCGAACTTGTCTGGATCAAAAATTAGTTTATTGATCCTGATATTCAACCAGGACTCGCAGTAAGTATTGTCTTGTGGATAAAATGGACAGTGTTTAATCTTGTTGGATCCCGGCTGCTGCTCGGCGTCCCTCCGGACAACAATGTTAACTACTCTATCCAAAGTACAGGACATCCAGCATGTCTGTCTCCCTGGCTTGCGTCGCATACTACATTCAAGTTGAACAGCATCAATGCACGTTAGAATAGAAATTTTTGACATACCCGCAAGCCGATAACACACTGCTCGCTCAAAAATACTTTATGCCAGGTATAGCGCTCCGCGGATGTCGTTTGGACATACGCTAAGGTATGGGTCGTGGGAACCCCGCACGTTTAGTAATCCATCAAATGATGGCATCAGCGCCATCTTTTGAGCTTTCATAACAAAAAATATGATATTTCTACTATTTTCAGGGCAATAATGGATGTAGTAGGTAGATATGCAATAGGCAGATACTATTCCATCATAAACAACACCCTCCTGCCTTCTGTGCTATTGTTTGGTGGTCCCCATGGAGGTCACAAGTGTCATATGGCTATCACAAGTGTGACGGCTCTGAATGGATAGAATTTGGCTGTAATTTAACCCTAAGGCAGGACTTCATTCAATTTAATGCTGATTTACATAGTAGATGTCATCACAATGTGTTAAAATATGTTAACCTTGTTGACTTTATGTGGTACGTGATAGTGATTGTCACGCTTTTGAGCGGTGTCACATGTGTCACACCGCCATCATCTTGGGTCTGGCAGAATATAAAAGTTTAATATTATTGAATGATTGGACCTAACATTTGTTCAGACTATACTAAGCTTCATTTCTGCACACTTTATGGATCACTATATGTCCTACCCCTGCACCTATTGCTGGCGCATCGGTGCTGATGCCATCAGCTGACTAAATGTGCAGGGTTCCCACGACCCCTACCTTAGCTCTGTCACCAGCGGGTCGACGAAGTGCGTGAAGCATGTCTCGCGCAGCTGATCGTCGATAGGGCCCGCATCGACCACGTGAGCAGTCGAGGCACTACTAGGCTGCCCTCGGTGAAGAAGGCGAACGTAGTCCAAGCGAGGACTACTTTAGAGGCCAAGGTCGTATCGAGCTGATGCTGCGGGTGGAGTAAAATGGTGGATGTAGTTTGGTGAAATGTACTCAGCTCTGGGTGAATATATCCTGGCTCGCGCTCGCTATTCTGCGCTTTCGCTCACGCAGGCTCAAAACTCAGAGATGAAGGAGGGAAGCAAGGAAGATAAGATTCTCCTATCCGAATCTGAGACCGTAACTATGTGATCGGAAGGGGTACAAACAAATGAAATAAAAACTAAATTGGCCATGTGTAAGAGATCCTGGCTCTACACTGACCACATGTCCACACAGAACCATTTTTGGACTTTGATGAATGGGAATGCGCGCTGCTGCCCTCAGCGAAGACGTTGGGGGACCAAGCCAAGTCTTATACCCAGTCCGACTAGCTCTGTGCGTCCAGCGGCAGCTTCGAGTTCGGATATTTTGAGATAGTTGTGGAGTAGGGAGGAGATAGGAATTGAAATGTCGAGTAAATCAGAGGTGGCTGTTATCGCCCGATAAGCGCGACGCGTGATATGTGCGTGACCGCAGTGTCGACGTGGCGGCCACAAGGCACTACCACATCGGTGGAACAGCTGTCATTCCGAGTACTTGAAATCTGGCGCGGGTTGAAGTCCAGCATGCAGAGGGTTGAGGGCATCGGCGGTCCTGCGCCTGGGTGCCGGGGGACATTGAGCAACCGTGGCCCGGAAGCACCACAGATCCAGGACTGTGGCTAGGAGTTAGATGTCAGGTCAAGCCAGCGGCGTACAGTGGGGTGAACATATAGTTTATGCAGGAAACTATAAAAACATTCATCATAGATACCATCCTTGGTAATTAACTCTAGTTCAATTACTCCACATCTCATAATAATACAAAATCTGCATGTGATGTGACAGCTGTGACTGATCACCTGACTGGTCCGTGCGCAGATAGCCCTGTACTTAAGTAGTTGGCCGTGTTTTGTGTGATACAGCAGACCACCAAGTACCATTAAGTATAGGAGGATATATTCAATCTAGACTAAGATATGTAAGTATATATATATCACTGCAGCCAATATATGGACTGCTACAAATGTGCTATAAACATTATTGGCTAGCTACAATGAGCTATAAGTTTTGCTAGTTGGCTACATTTAGGAGGACGTTGCAACTTTACTACACTAGCTATATTTCACATGTAGCAATATATTGTGGTTCTGTTTCTTGCTGACGGAAGCTAGGATGGTGATCCATGACTGGCAGTGGGAGGCGATAAATGGCAAGAGCATTGTCCTGCACCTAGGCAATGGCATGGGTAGGCCATACCCGCGCGGGTACGCGGGATTTACCCGCGCGGGTACGGGTACGGGTCAGTGGCAGCCTTACCCGTAGCTTACTGATTCAGCTGGCTTTTCTCTCGATTGCTGCTCCTGCTGGTCTGTGTTCTATTCTTGTTAAGTGCTCCATTTTTTTACCACACTTTTCTGGCCACTAACCCGGTAGTATCTCTCACCCACCTTCTTTAGAGGCTGCTGCATCCGTGGGTAAACCCATACCCGTACCCGCGGGTAAGGGTACACAGCCACAGGGGTAAGGGTACAGATGGCTGTCAGGGGAACCCCCGCTTCGGCCTCCCTCGGACCCTCCGAACGCATCCGAGGCGCATCCGACCGGCGCCCCCTCGGACGCTCCGACCCACCCCGACCATCGTCCCACGGCCTCCTTCGCCCGCACAATCACCGATCCGTCAAGACCCTCCCAACGATCACCTTGGGACAGAGCCTGCAACGCCGCTCAGGCCTTCTGCGCTCTACGTCGGCAGTTACGGACGACCAGTATATAGTTGGCGCCCTAGCAGGCGGACCCTTAGAGTTTCTTCTCTTTGGATCCTCCCCTGCTAGGTCGGTCCCTCCGTGTATTTCCTGTAGTCTTATTCACGCTTTGGATCCTCCCCTGCTAGGCTTTCGTCGGAGTCTCCAGGGTTGCCCTTACAGCAGAAGAAACTCTCTACGGGATTAACCGGTCAAGATTGCCAGGTTTGGTGCTGACTCAGGCTCGGAGTACGAGTCCGTACCCCCTCGTCACCGCCCCTGCCACTTGACCCCTCCTCCTCTGCTCTTGTCGTCTTTACGCCCGCTATGTCTACCGGAGCTGCTCCGGACGCTGACGCGCGCATGGACGCACTTGAGGTGAAACTAGACAACCTCACCAATATCCTCACCCACCTTGCTTCCCAGGCTTCCGCTGCCGCACCACCTCCGGCAGCTCCCGAACCGCCTCGGCATCTCCGAATGCCCCCGACGCGGATGCGTTATTTGGTGACATTACTGTCGCCTCAAAACTGGTCTTACGACCAAACCCCCCGTTTGCGTTTAACGGAGATCGCAAACGCGGCCCGCCTTCCTATACGCGGTCAAAACCTACGCTCGGCTTGCCCCGGAGGCCTTCGTAGTTAACGGAGAGCCGAGCGAAGAAAAGGCCGTCCGCTACGCCATGTCCTATATGGCGGAGGGACCTGCTCAGCAATGGGCAGAGCGTCATGGGAGCAAAAACCCCTTCCCCTTCCCTCGGTGGAGCCAGTTCCTCTCCGAGTTTCGCCTTCGGTTCGTCGAGGAGAACGAACAGGACCTCGCGCTCGCTAAGTTGGAAAGCGCGGGTTATCACATGGGAACGCGGGATGTCTACGGATATACCGACGACTTCGAGGACTTGATGGACCTCGCTGGCTTCGAAGACGCGTTGGTTAAGGTAACCAAGTATCGCCACGGACTTGACCCCTTGATCAACAACGGCATCACCTCTTCGAACGACCCCCCAGACCTCCGTGACTATCTGGGCTGGCGCACTCGGGCTTTCCGACAATATGAAGCCCTGGTGCGAGCGAAGCTCAT